CATCTTTCTCCTGCGGAGCGGCTGGTAGTTTCGAACCGCTGACCTTAAGGTTCGCAGCCCGATTCGTAACCACTACGCTACCAGAGCTCCTTCCACAGTCTTTGGTGTTGATTGCACCTCAATGTAAAGAAAACAAAAATCCTCACCACTGGACCAATAAATAACAGCCATATAAATGGAGAAAAGATTGAAGTTGTCTAAGACTTCATTTTGCTCGGATCTACCATCAACACTCATGGAAGAAGCAGTCAAGGAATCAAGTGACATACTGTATTGGTCAAATCTGCTGCACAAGACCTCTTTAAAGTGTTGAAGAGCAAATGTCAGTTTCAGGACTAAGGGTGCACCTGACCCAATCCATGTTTTTTTTTCTATAACCTCATCTGTTTGTGAAAGTTGGACAGTGAGTAAGGAAGACCACAGAAGAAGTGATGTATTTCAGTTATGGTGTTGGAGGAGAATGTTGAAAGTAATATGGACCGCCAAAGAAGAAACAAATCTGTGTTGACAGAAGTACAGCCGGAGTGTTCCTTGAAAGCCAGGATGGCCAGACTTTGTCTCTCACACTTTGGGCACATATCAGGAGGGACTAGTCACTGGTGAAGGACATCATGTTTGGTAAAGTGGAGGGTCGGAGAAAAAGCAGAAGAAGCCTAATGAGAGGGACTGGCATAGTGGTAGCAGCAGTGGGTTCCAGCATAGCAAGGCCTGTGAGGCTGGTGCAGGACGGGGCAGTGTGTCACTCTGTTGTGCATTCGTTCTCTATGTGTCATTACTGACTCGATGGTATCTAACAACAACAACAAGACAATGAATGAACTGCAACCCTAGAAGCAATCATTTTTTTTACTTACCCTTGTATATATAGGTTTTACAGAGAACATTTCTACATACAAGATGATTTTAAAAGGTTTATGGAAAAATGGAATCAAAATGATTTTTAAATTTCATTTCTCCACGAACTTTTTGAAGCCTGCTCATATGTATTTATAAGTACTGTAAATCACCCCTGAACATTGTAGGGGACATAATTATGAAAATTTTTTAGTCATAAACAAACACCTTGAGGGAACTGGCCACTTGCCCGGGGCTCAGGAGCCTAGTCATGGGGAGCATCAAGGTCAATTGTCATAACGGTCCACAGAGACAGTGTTCAACATTCTCCTTTAGTATGTGGCAAATGGGGTCCTAAAAGCTTGCAAGTAGCCATCTAAGGTGCAACAATTAGCCTCTCCTCAACCAGAATGAAGAAGACTGAGGAAAATCAAAGATGCAAGGAAACAATTAGTCCAAAGGACTATTGGTGGTGGTGGTGTTGTAAGGTGCCATCGAGTCAGTTTCAACTCATAGTAACCTTGTATAGGGTTTCCAAAGAGCAGCTGGGGGTTTGAATTGCCAAACTTGTGGTTCACAGTCCAGTACTGATCTTACAGCACCCCACCAGGAGTCCAAAGGACTAATGGACCATGGGAATCTCAGCTTCCAGTACAACTAGATGGTACCTGCTATCACTACCGACTACTCTGAAAGGCATCACAATAGAAAGCTGGAGAGAGTGGGAGAAAAATGTGGAACAAAACTCAAAATTACCAAAATGACCAGGCTTACTGGCTGGATGGAAACTGGTGGAACCTTAGTAATCCTTGAAGCCTGGAACTGAACTTACCTCCATGGCTCAACTTTTAGCCAAATAGTAAATAGGACTACGAGGTGAACAGTAACACCAGGGAGCTATGTACTCCTTAGAACAATCTGCCATAGGGGATCAAAAGGACAGCATTTGCCCAGTGGTAAAGCTTAGAAGGCAGGGAAGGATAGGAAAGCAGTATCAATGGAAACGGTGTACACAGGGAGGAAGTGGAAAGTGGCTACTTTATGGAGATTGCAATCATGTCATGAAACAAAGTTGTTGAATGGAAAATCAATTTGCTCTGTAAATTTTCACCCAAGTCACAATAAATTAAATTAAAAAAAACAATTAGAAACTGGAGATGTCTGTAAGCTTGGTGTGACATAGATTACTCTGTGTTTCCTGTAAATCTAATGTGGTTTTGCTTACTGGTCTGAATCTCTCTGTGGTATCAATAGGTAACCAATCTTTTGTCAAAATTAAATGGAATTATGAGTCAGGCTGCTGACATTGAGGTCAGCAGGTCAAATGTGCCAGTTGTTCTGTGGGAAAAGATGAGGTTTTCTGTTCCCATAAAGACGTACAGCCTCGGAAAGCTTACGCAGAGTTGCTATGAGTTAGAACCGACTTCAGGCACACCACCAACACCACCACAGGATTAAAAGGAGTCCTTGTGTGGTGCTGCAAAGTTGCTTTGCACTGCAAGGTCGGCGGTTCAGTCTCAATAGCCACTTCTCAGAAACCCTATAGAGAGAGTATTGCTATGAGTTGGAACTGACTTGACAGCACTTAACACCAACAAGCGTAGTGGTGACGAATCCGGCTGCGAACCTCACGGTCAGCAGTTCGAAACTACCAGCTGTTCCATGGGAGAAAAATGAGGCTTTCTGCTCCTGTAAAGATTTACAGCCTTGGAAACCCTGTGCAGGGTCGCTATGAGTTAGAACCGACTCCTTGGCACATAACAACAACATGTGGAAAAGCAACACTATTCTATTGTGACCTTAGCTGAATCATGTGAACTGCCTCTGTGTGGCCTCAGCATTTGGCCCAGCCCATTCCTTTCTTCTTGTCCCACTTTGTTCTCTTGGCTGCTTTTCCTTTATCTCTGAGCTCTGCACCTCTGCCTCAGCCCCCTTTTCTACAGTTTCTTAGTGATGGTGCAGCCAGGTTCAGCCCTCAGTCCCATTTTCTTCTCTCTCTATTCACTTCCTTGGAGATTCCATTCAGTCCCATGGCTTTAAAAACTACCGATATTTAAGTCATAGATTTCTATCAGCAGCCCAGATCTCTCTTCTGAATTCACCTTTGTATATTTGGCTGCCGACCTGCTATTTCCATTTGCAAGTCTCATAGTCATCTTAGTCTGATATGCCCAAAACTGAACTGCAGACCCTCTTCCTGTGCTGCCGTGCCCCAATCTTGCCACGCCCACAGCTTTCGCATGTTGATGCCTGCTGACCTCTCTTCTGAGTTGTCTGGACAGTCTCAAGGAGCCGTACTTCTGGCCTTTGGCTGTACCTTCACAGTACATCATCATCTGCCTACTTCTTACTGTGGTCCCAACCACTGTCCCTTATAACCAGGAGGATAGCAATAGCCTCCGGGCTGATCTTATACTGTGTATTCCCAGAGGCCAGAGGCTCCTTGTAAAATGTAATTTGAAGAATGTTACTCTGCGGTGTTGTAGGATAAGCACTGGATTGCAGTGTCTGTTTGAACCGCAAGGTTGGTGGTTCAAACTTAATAGCCACTCCTCGGAAGCCTGGGTCTGACTCAATAGCACTTAACCACAATGACAGTTCTTCTAATCACCATCCTGTGATGGCAAGAACTTAAGTTCTTTCTGCCCACTGCCCACAGTGCCCTACGTGACCTCCACTCCTCAGGCCTTCCCCAGTCACCCACTCTAGGTAAACTGCCCTCCTTCCCTTGTCCTCCTTCCTGCCTGTGCCCGCTCCAGACCCTCATCTGGCCAAGCCCCACCTTCAGACCTTTATACTGATGGGCACATCTACAGAGAGTCCCTCATTCCCTTTAGGTCTTGGCTCCAATAGCATGAACTTTATTTATAAAAGAAACTAGCATTCCCTCCTGCTTATGACCCTGGCACTTCCTGGCCTCTCTTTGCTTTTCTTTAGCATTTACCTTCTACTTCTGAAACCCTCTACAGGGCCACGATGAATCTGAACCAACTCAACAGCTCTAACAACAACAACAACTACTATTTGATTTATTACATACATTATTTATTATTGTCTTCTCCTATGAAAATGTAAGCGCCATAAGGTCAGGGAGCCTGGTTTTGTTCACTGATGTATTCTGAACTCTGAGAGCAGTGCTGGGCATAGAGTGAGCACTCTAAGTATCTGAGGAATGACAAAATGAATGAAAACATAAGAAGGGGCACTGGCCACGACACTTACCCGGGCGGCATTGTAAATGCGGAATATCCTGCTGATGATATCCTCTTCTAAATCAGCAGAGACAAACTCCACCTGAATGGGGCCATGCCTGTGAACGCCATTTTCTGGCCAGTACTGGGGACACAACTGAATCCCAAACACAGAAATGCAAGGTTAATTAGGAGAATAATTTTACTTTTCACTTTGGATAAGGTCAGTATAAGCATTCAGTGATTGTTTGTACTTCACTGATTCATTTCATTGTCTTTCCTCTGGCAAGTATACTTCAGGTCTGTCTTGTTGGCCAATTCTCCTGTCCTTCTAGTCATTTTTTATTTCTTTTCTCAGAAAACATCCTTTACTCATGGGGCCTGCTTTCCAAAGGGGTGCTAGGGATACAGTTCTACATATATATATATATCTTTGTAAGATCTCTTTTGCATGCTGAAGAAACTCTTTCTGGCTCTGGGGAGATGCTGCTGGCTACCATTACAAGAGTTAAGATGCTTAAGATGGCACATGGACCTTTTCACATGAAAATCTATCTCCACCCTCCACTGCGTAGGGTTGCACCCTAGTTTATAATCACTTTTGGTAACAGAGTTATTTTGTGCCACATTTTAGAACTGATAATAATGTTGGAGTACATTTTCATGTTTTGATCCAACCCCTTCCAGTTTTGATATAACAAACCTGGTGTTGTGAGAGTAAATGTTTTGCTGTTTTACCTGGAAGAGGTTTTAACTAAAAACACAATTTTCTACGTTCCCAAACCCCAAGCATTGAAGATCCTGTGATGTAACAGGCAACTTCATGTGGTATGAGTGATGCTGGATCTAGTGGCTTATGAGAGAAGTGCTTCATTTCCACAAAACACTAATTGCTAACCCTGGTGTGATAGGATAAGCACTGGACCACAATGTCGGTTTGAACTTCAAGGTTGGTGGTTCAAATCCACCAGCCGCTCCTTGGAAACACTATACAGGGTCGCTGTGGGTTAGAATGGATTCGATGGCACTTAGAAACAAACAACAACAACACAAATATAAAGGTTGAAAAAGATGGGAGTCGGGGTGGTGGTGGAGAAAGAAATGCCTAGAGTTTTCTCTAATAGGCTTCTAAAGTTTGAACCTAAACTTCTGTTGGGAGTATAGCCTTTATCTTACCTTCCTGATTTACCTGAGGGATAATAAATGGCTGTGGTGAGGCATGGGCTGTGGGGGCGGGGTACGTCTTTATTTTATAACCTACTGGGCTCAGAGCAGACCCAAGCGTGTCACCTCATCTCAGCTGAATGATGAGTGACGGTGGAACCTCTTGGCACTACAAAAGGAGAATCTGCTGTTGGATTTCATTTTATGAATTTTACTTTCTAAAGAATCTGAAATCTCATTGTCAAAGGTTGAAAAGGTTGATTTATGTTCAAGGTTGCAAGATAGGTTTCAGTTAACAGCAGCTTAACTGAAATAGCACTATTTTTCTCCATGATGAAACTGAAGTTTCTGATTTTGTGATTAAGATTTAAAGTAAGATATCCAAAGGTGCTTTTTAGGTTAATTGAGTTCATCATACTTTAGAAATGTTTGAAAGTATTATTTTAAATAAATTGGGACCACATCCCTTATCCTGTAACTGTCTGATATTAAAGAAATTTAACCTATGGCATTTTAAATTAGAAAACTAGACTCTAAAACTCCATTTTGAGTTGTGTCTTTGGGTACATCTTTTAAACTCCCTCAGGCCTGGTGTCTGTATGTTGTAAAAAAATGTCTGCAGTCTGTCCTTCTGAGAGGATCACTGGAGAGAGTTCTAAATATTTAAGCTTCTTAAGCAAAGGACTAAATGAGAATAAGTAGCATTATTATTTAATTAACTAGCTTTTAGGGATGGAGTTGACAATACATAGAATGTTGTGCCTCAAACATAATTTAAAACATTAGAGAATTGGGTTTAATGTCCATGGTATTTATTGGTAAATCGGTGGCCCCAAATTGATGTTAGGGGACAAACCTTGTCCAGTTGGAAGTTGCAATAGTTTAGACCTCTTTATTTTTCAGTTTGAAATAATTTTTCTCTATTAAATAGTAAATTAACTTGGTTCCAGGGTAAGTTTATTCTTAAAACATGTTACGGTCAAGCTTTCAAGAACATCCTACTCATGGTGTTACACTGTTGTTGGTATTACCTAACCTCAAAGCATCAAATGTAACAACAACTCCAGTTCCTAAAGGACCACTGCAGTAATGCTTCAACTGAAAACTGCTTTTGGAGAAACACTTCTAACCCTGTTAGTAACACTGAGTTTTCACTGTCCAAGTCTTTCTCGTCAGAAGAAAGGATTTAAGAAAAGGAGCTGCACAGAAACTTATCTTTCGGAGCTTCTCTTATCTCCAAGCCTTAGTTTTCATTCTTTTCAATATCTTTTCATAATGAAAGGCATTATTGTCCCTTAAAATCATTTGCCTCTCTCTGAACCTCTTTGTCATACCCCCAGCCCCATGACTATCTCTACCTGCAGGTTCAAGGTAAGCTGTCCCAGAAAGCACATGAATGCTACAGGAATGGGACCAAGGGCTATGATGCGTGCTGAAGCCTTTCTTTCCAGCTCTCTAGTTTGCTCTGCTCTGCTGTCAGCTTTGATGTGTGCAGGTTCCTGTTCAGTTTTGACTTGCCCAGTACCTCCTCCCCACTCCACTCGGCATTCTCACCCTTTTGGGACAGCCCCATGTCTGACTCGTCTTGCCCTGTCACTCCCATTATCGATGATCTTAGCTCTCGGCTGCAAACCCTGATTCCACCTGCTTTTCCACACTCACATTTCAGCATCACAGTTTGCAGCAGTTGCCTTGTGTCTATGGTTTGATTCTGGTGCCTGCTCTTGTCACAGGCACACAAAGTTAAACCGGGCATGACCCTGTGGCATGAACTCTGATTACAGAAATTGGTGAGTCTCACCTGGGCAGGATCCACATCATTTAGCATAACTACAGACGTGCAGTGATAATCCAGGACTAGCCTCCAGAAGTCTTTGACTGTGTTTGGCAAAGGATGCTGGGTAACTATGAAAGCTGATGGCTGTTTATAGCTCTGCAAACACAAACCAGAAAGATCCAAACATACTCAGGAAAATGCTATGGGAAAAGCTATTTTGTACACATAGAAACTTGTGGCACAAAACACTGATCATATTTATCAATTGTTGAATTGTATTACCATTGTTAACACCACAATAGACTGAATGTGAACTTATCTGAAAATTAACAATAATAAAATGTTCCTAGTTTGGTATCAAGAAAATGTAATATATCTTATGAATTATTTCTGGTAGAAGGGTATATCACACTTATACAGAATTACATTAATGTAGAATATTTAACTCTAACAATAAACATAGTTAAAATAGTTCTACCCTCCCTAAAATCCACTTGCGTAGTCTTTGTATGTGTGAAGTGCTACCTATTTCTGTCATAAAAGAATTCAGTTGTTCTTTCTAGGTCTGGTGAGTTTCAAAAAAAAAAAAAAAAAAAGTCCACTATTACTGATATCATTCTGACAGAATGAAAATTTCCACATTAGCTCTGAAAATATTCATTCATTTTTCTCCCATCAGTTGAATAGCAAGTTCAATTCATTTAGTTACGGTAAATAGGCTAACAGGAAATAATGAGTAGTGTAGGATCTGCACTGGCAGGCAATTCTCCCCCCACATTAATTACTTCCAAAGCTGGGAGGGCAGGAGACTCAAATAATGCTTTAAACCACATTATCCCACCTCACTGCCTCAGTGACTTAATAGCTGTCTCTTGCTCTTTGGTCAACAGGTTAAAAATGGAAGTGCTCCTAGAGTAACCAGGACATGTTTCATTTATCAATACTTTCGGATCAGTTGTCTCTGATGGACCAAAACCCTAAGCCCTGACACAAAAACACAGGTAGGATCTGAAATGCACTTGGCTGAAAAGATAGTTTGTGTTGAGAGGAGACACAGATTGAGAAGAACCAGAGGGCCCTGTTCCCACGTGAGAACAAGGCTTCCCTGTTTGTCTGGAGGACAGAGGGCTTACATCCATGAGAGCAGCATTTATGTAGTTGCTGCTCTCCCCGTCGATTGTGATGAGGAAGGGCAGGCACCGATCTGGTGGCAGGATGTCCATGCACCGGTTCTTCTCATGATTCCGCGGCAAAAGCGCTATACTGCAGTCTTCCACACGCAGCGTTGGTGTCACCATGTTTAGGGTCTACACAACCAAAGACAGACATGAAGGAGAGATGGCTCGACATTTATCTCATGTTCAGTTGAAAAGACCCAAGTTCCCTGTAGTTAACTACAAGACAGTCCCCAACTCCCCTCACTGACACACACACATACACAGATTGTACACACAGACACTCGCGCACCTATAAATGGTGGCTGTACCACACACAAGTAGACTTTCATTTTCTGTTCACTCCCTGGATCACATTCACAGATGGTGCCCATTAGACAAAAGGGCCAGAGGCAGAGGCCTAAGAGCCACATGGATCCCTAGGATTAAATGCCATCAAATCTGATGAGAGCTGGACATTTGGAGATTTGGAAGGTAAGACCTTGGAGTTTGGCCCTAGAACCAGGAATATTTATAGATAAAACTGGAATATGAGTTATTCAGTGAAGAAATACTACCTAGAGAGTCTGCTTAATGCCCATTTCTATGAACAAGTGGTCCAGGGTGTGTTGTGACACGTTGGTGTTTGCTTTCCAGGGGAGGAAATGGCTCTGTTAGACAAGTGGTTCTCTATCAGTCAGTTTCCAGCCTCCCCCTCCCTGGGGGCATTTGGTAATATATGGGCACAGTTTGGGTTGTCATCACTAGAGGTGGAGTGGCGGTGATGGTGCTATTGCTCTATAGTTGGTACAGGCAGAGATGCTACTAAATGTTCTAAAACACAGGGCAGTACCCCAAACAAGGAACTGTTGTTGTTAAGTGCCATCTGGTCATTTCAGATACATACTGACCCTGTATAGGGTTTCTGAGTAGCAGCTGGTGGGTCTGAACTGCTGACCTTATGGTTTGCAGCTCAGTACTTATCCTACAGCGCCACACAAAGAGTCGTCTGGTCCCAAATTGTAGGATGAGCACTGGACCATAGGGTTGGTTTGAACTGCAAGAGTGGCGGTTCAAATCCACCACCTGCACCTCAGAAACTCCATAAAAGGTTGCTACAAGTTGGAATGGACTCGATGGCACTTAACAACAATAACAAATGTCAATACTGCTGAGACTGAGAAACCAGCTGTTAGTTCAAAGGTTTAAGGGCTGACTTTGAGATCCTGCATAAGGTGCAAGGTTACAGCCAATCTATCTGTCTCTTTGGCATGGCTTACCCGGAATTCCTCTTTAATCTGGCTTGAATTTGTCTGAGGGTCCAGCTTGTTCATATCATAATACAGAGACCTCACTTGGGAAGCAGGAACAGAGGTGTCTCCACAAAGACAGGCTTCTAGGATTGCATCATGGATGAACACATATTGTTCCTGGTGAAGCAGATAGGATTAGTTAGTGACGGAAAAATCCAGGTGACTGGAATTAGAAGGGAGGGATGACACAGTGTGTTTTAACTCCACACAATCCAGACCAGAGAACGATGGTCTGTCACGGACAGTGCATTTCTGACAGAAAGGAAAGTGGTCTGAAAGCCTGATTACTAGGACAGTGGATAAACTAATCCTGACAGGCCATTGTGGCTAGACAAAGGGAGGAATGGACAAACAGTGACTCAAAGAAGGAGTATCTTACTAATTGAATAAAAGCAATTGGTGGTGGTGATGGTGTGCCATGCAGTCAGTTCCGACTCATAGCGACCCTGCACAGGGTTTCCAAGGCTGTAAATATTTACGGGAGCAGAAAGCCGCATCTTTCTCCTGTGGAATAGCTGGTAGTTTCGAACTGCTGACAGTGAGGTATTCAGCCCGATTCATAACTACTACATTATCAGAGCATGGATAAATAGCAGAGCAAGCTCTGTAATACTACAGTAAACATGGCTTAAAAAACAACCTGGTGCCACAAATTTGCAATTCAATATTTCAAGCGCAAAATGAGTAGAACTTTAACTTCACAGTGAAAATAAGATTTGCTAATCAAATTATTCTTATAAATATGGTCCAGGGACATTTGACACTGTTGCAAAAATGAAATGTTGCCAGCATTAGAGCCACTTGTTTTAGAACATTGACAAATGTGATAATTACAAAAGCTCATATATGTTCTTGTATGTGTGCTAAATGAATCCACAGTTTAAAAACGGATCCTCTCATTCTGAATTGAAACTGACTTTCCCCGCATCTAATTAGTAAGGAAGACCGTAGAAGAATTGATGCTTTTGAGTTTGGTGTTGGAGGAGAATATTGAAAGTGCCATGGGCTGCCAAAAGAACCAACAGATCCTTTTGAAGAAGCCAGCCAGAGTGCTCCTTGGAGGCCAAGATGGCCAAACTTCCTCTCTCATACTTTGGACATATTGTCAAGAGGGACCAGTCACTGGAGAAGGATATCATGTTTGGTAAGGTGGAGTGTCAGAGAAAAAGAGGAAGACCCCCAGAGATGGACTGGCCAAGTGGCAGCATTGATGGACTCAAGCGTGGCAACAATAGTGAGGTTGGCCCAGGATCGGGCAGTGTTTCGTTCTGCTGTGCATAGTCTCTCTGAGTCAGTCCCGACTCAATGGCACCTAACAACAACAATAACAATTAGTAAAGTTTGATCACATTTATAGTAAAGAGCTTTAAAAATTATGTAAATATCTCTTATTACTTTTCAATTTCTAGAAATAATTTAAACTTTTAATTCTTAAAAATAGTCAATCCTATTAAACAACATCTAAAATAAGAGGACAGAGGAAGAAAATCAGTGTGGCACCATTTGATTGATCAACTGTAAAAGTACATTAAAAATAAATGACCACTACTGTCTAGTCAAGAGTTCTGGTGTGGTGCTGTGGGTTAATGTGCCAGACAGCAAAGCCGTTTGAATTGCACGGTTGGCCATTCAAGCTCACCAGCTGCTCCTTGGAAACTGTATACAGGGTCGCTATGGGTCAGAATTGACTCGACGGCACTTAACAACAACACATTGTCTAGTAGCATAGTGGTTACGAATAGGGCTGCTAATCTCAGCAGTTTGAAACTACCAGCTGTTCCGCAGGAGAACGATGAGGCTTTCTGTTTCTGTAAAGATTTATAGCCTTGGGAACTGACTCCATGGCACATAAACACCACCATTGTCTTTAAAACAAAATATTACTAAAGAAAAGTGCCTGTAAGAGCAGCACTGACTCTTTTCTCTTTGTTTAAAAAAAGAAAAGAAATCAAATTTCCTAATGGCTCTTGTAAACTTTAATACACAATCTAATAAGGGATCGTTACTTAGTCCTTATTCTATCTGTTTCATTTTTCAGGCGATGGATGTAATGTCTATGAAAATTGGTATGATTTTCTTAGGAGTTGGACCTAGTACTATTTCTCAAAAACTTTAATTCTGGATACATCTTGAGTTCTCATTTATAGAGTTAAGTAGATGGCATACAACACTTCTACAAACCAGGATATTCCCCTGGTGCCAGGACAATGCCCAGGACTTTTAGGGGCAGTGGGCTACTGTTCTTGCACCTATGGAGCAGATCAAAATGCAGAGTTTACCCTACAGCCACTGGGCAGATGCCTGGCTACTCTCAGGAGTGACCTTACTCTACTTACCAGCTAGTTTTAAAAAAACACACACATATGGAAACACTGAGAGTACTAATGTAGACACTCCAACCTGGTGCCATGAACCAGATACATGGAACACATTTAGGCTATGGCTGTAGATTCTATAAAGTGAAGGAAGGAAGTGATAAAGGAAGGAAAGCAGGAAAACAGAGGTTGCCAGGTGTGTCATCTGTCTTTCGAGGAAGGTTTGCAGATAACTGCTTCATTTCTCTCCTCTTGGTTCTTGGGGAGGGAACAGAGGAATTAAGGACCAGAGCTTCAGGCCTGAGGGTGACCTACAAGTACCTCTGTCTGCACCATGTTCACCCTCCGTGAGCGCAGCTCCCTGACGCAGTTATAGATGTCCACTACCCCTTCTCTTTCGGCCATGTCCAACATGATATCGATGACAATGAAACAGCCCGTCCGCCCAGCACCAGCACTGAATAAAAAGAGGGGTCTATCAATGAAAGGAAAAGGGTCCACTGCACTGCTTTTGCTCCTTAAAACCATGTATTGAGGTGAAATTCACATAACACAAAATTCACCATTTATTGTGTAAACTCAGAGACATTTAGCACATTCACAAAGTTGTACAACCACCCCCTCTAGTTGTTAATAGACATTTTCATCACCTTCAAAAGAGACCTTGTGCCCATCAGCAACTGTGCTTCTTATAAGAGGCCCTGGTCACTACTTACCTGCAGTGCACCACCAATGGACCTGCATTGGGTGGGCTTTTGGACTTGACCTGCCGGACAAACCCCAGCAGCCCTGTAGCGTGGTATGGGACACCGTGGTCGGGCCAGCCAGTGAAGTGAAACTGTCTGATCTCCCGGATTTCATGAATACCTCTCTGCTCACAAGCCGCCAGCCACACATAGAAGGGGAACAAAGGGGGATAAGTGATGAGCAAGAGTCTCCAGGGAAGTGCAGTGTGCCCCAAAACTGTAAGCCTAGGGTTAGAAAACTCTGCCTAATGCTGAGGAAGAAGGTCATTCTTAGATTTAATACATAATTTGAAAGCTTTATCACTTAGGAAGTTGTTTGTGGGTGTTAAAAGGGAGGTGATGTTTAGGCAAAATACTAATTTACATGGGCAATTCCAGTAAATTGATAGGTCTCTTTCATTCTTTTAAGTGCCTTTCTAAAAAGCAGAAAATGTTAGAATTGTGTGTCACAAAGAACTTACAGTTTGCTGTGATGAGGCAATGAACAGGGACCTCAAGGCAGTGAAGGATGTCTGGGTGCTAGATATTAGCTACTAGAATGAAAAAGCCCCTTGTTGGGGCTCTTTTAGGTTCTGGAATCTCTTTGTATAGGGCCTCTAAAGGGTCAGGCAGCACAGTGGAGGTTCAAAAATGTTGGTTGTATGAATGGATGAAGGCTACTTCCCAATGAGGTGCATCAGAGAACTCAATTTCATTTGCAATTTAGTTTGCTAGCTTTCTCCATTAATTCAGGCAAACACTGAACCTGATCACTTAATTACCAACAACTGGGTGACTACAAGGCCTCAGGCATGGCACTGCCTCTTGTCATCAATGGGTGTCATAATCTGCTTGTAGGAAACAGGTGCTATCTATACCCACAAAAACCTGGAGGTGTATTAGCTGGAATTTAATGTTAACTCAATAAACTGGAGAGGGCTACCTGACCACTGAACTGAAGGGAAGACAATTAGAAAGATAATTTAGCAGTTTTTGACATTAAGTTGATTGATATGCACTTAAGATTTTTCTGGTGTAGTGTTGTAGGACAAGCGCTGAACCTCAAGGTTGGATAAAACCACAAGGTCAGTCTGAACCGCAAGGTCAGTGGTTCAAACTCACCAGCTGCTCCTCGGAAACCCTGTACAGGGTCACTATGAGTCAGAACCAACTTGAAGGCACTTAACAGTAACAACAACAACAATGATTTTTTTCTAGCTATGAGTCTATGGGACTCCTGTTGTGTTGCTGTAGGATTAGCACTAGACTGCGAGCCACAAGGTTGGTGGTTCAGACCCACTGGCTGCTCCTCAGACACCCTATACAGGGTTTCTATGAGTCAGAACAGACTCAATGGCACTTAACAACAATAACAACATTAATCTATCTATATGTCAAGATTACATTTGAAAGCAAAATATTACTTTTAATAGAAAAATTACTTCCAGAATCAAGGCTACTATAATTTTGGGATCAAATTTGACTTCTTTCCTTCTCTTATTCAAGGAATGTTTACCAAATACTATCTCCTTGTGATATCATGAGTTTGATGTTACATGTCTTAAAATTAAATACCCACTAACTTTATCATACGTGAAGAAAGCAAAAAGTCATTGAGAAGACAAGAAAAAAGGAAAAGGTCAAAATGGAAGTCAGAAGAGACACTGAAACTTGCTCTCCAGCATAGTGGTGATAAAGCAAATAGAAGAAATGAGGAGGTCCAAGAGCTAAACAGAAAATTTCAAAGATCAGCCCGAGCAGATAAAGCCAAATATTACAACAAAATGTGCAAAGATCTGGAATCAGAAAACCAAAAAGGAAGAACACGCTCAGCATTTCTCAAGCTGGGGGAACTGAAGAAAAAGTTCAAGCCTCGCCTTTCATTATTGAAGTATTCTCTGGGCAAATTATTGAATGATGCAGAAAGCATCAAGAGAAGATGGAAGGAATATACAGAGTCATTGTACCAAAAGGAAATGGTTAATGTTCAACCGTTTCAAGAGGTAGCATATGATCAAGAGCTAATGATACTGAAGGAGGAAGTCCAAGGTGCATTGAAGGAATGGGCAAAGAACAAGGCACCAGGAATTGATGGAATACAAATTGAAATGTTTCAAGAAAGTGAGGTAGCACAGGAGGTACTCACTCATCTCTGCCAAGAAATTTGGAAGACAACTATCTGGCTGACTGATTGGAAGAGAACCATACTTGTGCCCAATCCAAAGAGAGGTGTCCTAACGGAATGTAGAAATCATTGGACAATCTCTTTGATATCCCATGCTAGTAAAATTTTACTAAAGGTAATACAGAAATGGCTGCAAGTATACATTGACATAGAACTTCCTGAGGTTCAAACCGGATTCAGAAGAGGCCGTGGAACGAGGGATATCATTGCTGATGTCTGATGGATCTTGGCTGAAAGCAGAGAATATCAGAAAGATATTTACCTGTGCTTTATTGACTACGCAAAGGCTTTTGATTCTGTGGACCATGACAAGTATTGGACAACATTGCTAAGTATGAGTATTCTGGAACACTTAATTGTGCTCATGAGAAATCTGTACCTGGACCAAGAGGCAGTTGTTTGAACAGAACATGGGAACACTGAATGATTTAAAATTAAGAAAGGTGTGTGACAGGGTTGTATTCTTTCACTATACTTATTCAATCTGTATGCTGAGCAAATAATCAATGCGAGAAGCTGGGTTCTATGAAGAAAAATGTGGCGTCAGGATTGGAGGAAGACTCATTAACAAGCTGCGATATGCAGATGATACAACCTTGCTTGCTGAAAATGAAGAGGACTTAAAATATTTACTGATGACGATCAAAGAGCACAGCCTTCAGTATGGATTACATCTCAATGTAAAGAAAACAAAAATCCTTACCACTGGACCAATAAAAAACATTCATATCAGTGGAGAAAAGATTGAAGTTGTCAAGGACTTCATTCTTCTTGGATCAACTATCAAAACTTATGGAAGCAGCAGTCAAGAAATCAAACAACGTATTACATTGGGCAAGTCTGCTGCACAAGACCTTTTTAAAGTGTTGAGCAAAGATGTCAGCTTGAAGACTAAGTTGCGCCTGACCCAAGCCATGGTATTTTCAAAAACCTCATATACATGTGAAAGTTGGACAGTGAATCAGGAAGAACGTAGAAGAACTGATGCATTTGAGCTATGGTGTTGGAGGAGAATTTTGGGCTGCCAAAAGAACCAACAGATCCGTTTTGGAAGAAGTGCAGCCAGAGTGCTCCTTGGAGGCCAGGATGGCCAAACTTCGTCTCTCATACTTCGGACATATTGTCAGGAGGAACCAGTTGCTGGAGAAGGATATCATGTTTGGTAAGGTGGAGTGTCAGAGAAAAAGAGGAAGACCCCAATGAGATGGATAGGCCAAGTGGCAGCAATAATAGTGAGGCTGGCCCAGGATCGGGCAGTGTTTCCTTCTGCTGTGCATAGGGGTCGCTATGAGTTGCTAGGAGTCGTCAGTACAACAACAACCGTATCACATTTACTACCAGTTATTGTTCATATTAGTGAAAAAATAAGAAATGAAGAATTTTTGTTTTATAAAATGAGCAGAGGTAAACAATTAAGAGTTTAAGATTAGATCTGTTTGCTATCAGTGTGTTAATCTGTGTTAGTGTTAATAGCCCATAAATGCTGAGGCTTTACTTCTCCCTGAGATGATGTATTTTAATGAAGTTTAAGTACTAAGGAACTAAACAGTTAGGGAATCACAAATGACAGTCAACATTGTCATCTGCTAAACAAGCTCTGTGGTCCCTATATTGTTGTTTTTATTGTTGTTCTGTCGAGTCAGTTCTGACTCATAGCCATTCTGTGTAGGGTTTCCAAGGCTGTAAACCTTTACAGGAGCAGAAAGCTTCATCTTTCTCTTGCGGAGTGGCCGGTAAATTCAAACTGCTGACTTTGTGTTTAGCAGCCAAATGAGTAGCCACTAAGAACTCCTTGATCCCTAATTTGTTGTTGTTAAGTGCAATCGAGTCGGTTCTGACTCATAGTGAACCCATATAGGGTTTCTGAGGAGTATCTGGTGGATTTGAACTGCCGACCTTGTGGTCTACAGTCTAGTGCTGGCATTTTTAGTTGGTGAGTTTGAACTGCTGATCTTGTGGTTCAAACCAGGACTCCATGGTAACGTGTGGCTGTTCCCAACACCTTCAACTTCCTATGAGCTCCCCCTGGTGTCTATGTATGCTGACTCTGGCAGGGATGGACCCAATTTGGTGATCAATATTCCATGAATGGGAAAACTTACCTGTAGTACATATTTATTCCAAAGAGGACACTATACTCCCATGTGATGGTTTTTTTTTTTTTTTTTTTTTTGCTCCATTAAAAAATATTATAATTAGCATATCCCTTTCAAGCTTTGTTAGATTTCAGCTCTGGGATTCCCAAATCCTGAACTCCACCCATTTTAAGATAGCCCCTATATGATGTCTCCAAGGCTCATTTTCTGAGCAAGGTAAAATTTCTGATTGTCAGAAAATTGTTTCTCAAATAACCACCACCCCTCCTCTGTAATGTGCTCATTATTTACAACATCCACAAAAGAAATTGTTCTTTCTTATTCATTAAAATGGTGTTTTCTCAATTTGTAATTACAAAATATTATTTTGTAATTATATTTTGTAATAGCAGTACATTTTTTGTAATACCAGTACATTTGGGGAAGAAAATAATACAGTGATCAGTGATCACAAACCAGATACTTCCCAATGGATATCAATCATTCTCTTCTTTATTTTTTATTTCTCATTACAAAAAGTATTCATGCTGTATAAAAAGCGATATCTACTTATTTTTCTATGTAATATAGCAGGAAGAAAGAACCCAAGACATACAATCGTGATGAGCACAGTGTGGGTGTTTAATCAATATCTGTGGTGGGAATAAATCATGCTATCCATGTTGTGTCTTTGAGGCAGTAGGATCATTGGCCCCTCTAAGCCCCAGGCATTCCTGGGTAGGGAAAATTCAGCTTCTTTCTTGCCTGCTATAGAAAAGAGGTAGTTCAACCAAGAGCCTTGATCCACAGAGACTTTGGAACTGTCTTCCTCCTGACATGATGGGCACCATATATTTATTCAAATTTGTTTAGCTTTGAGTCATCAGCTATGGGGAAAAGGAAGGATCACAATCAGATGCAAAACAGGAATTCATCGATTTTAAAACTGCAGTGCATCTACTTATTTGCAGAGCAAAGCACAAATCCATTTTTTCACCTTTAGGGCCCCCACTGGTACATACTCAAAAATTGAATCCGAATTGCAGGAATCTCCAAAGTACATGCTGACTCTTTTTTTTTTTTTCCTTCCTTTCTCTTCTAATGAGAGTTAAAAACCTATGTGAAGAGCTCCACGAGAGTACTAATGATTTGTTTTTCTTAAAGATTCCAATTGCCCAGTTAGAAAATCACTAACTTGTCATTTTGATTTCCCCAAATGCATTAACAAGCTCCCCTTCCTCCCTTCCTTCCACCACCTCTTCATTGGTTATCTAATGACTAAAATAACTGGGTATTTCAGAAACATTTATGTGCAGCTGGGGATGTAGGAGAATACAATGAGAGGTTAAAAAAAGAGCAAAGAAACAAACAAACCCTTCCTTTAGCATCAGAGATGCATTTTCAGCTTATTAGAGAGCTGACTATTGTTCAAAGAACTCTGAGCTTAAGTGATAGCTTTTGGAAGAACAATTTTTTTAAAAAGAAAAAAGAAAAAACACTGAAGGTCTTTTATCGCTATTTGTTTTAATGCAGTTATTCATGTGTGATCTTTGCCAAGAGCCTCCTCAATGTGGGTATTTTTTTTTTCTCCAATCCTGCCTAAGAAGGGGGAAAAAAAAATGACATCAAAGTGTGAGGCTCAGAACTTGAAGAAATGAGCCTACCAGAACTCTACATTCTTTGAAGTCTTCAAGCCTCCTGCCTGCTTATTAAAAAAGATAGGCCAAGAAGAAAAATGCTAATCGTATGAGATGAAAATGAACTAAAGTCTTTACATTCTTGTGATTCTATAACAAATATGGATTTGCAAACTAGCGTAGGTAGTTCTAAAAATCAGAGCAAATTACCCAATAAGCAGATGCTGCAATTTCCCTGATTTCCTGAAACGACTCTTATTAATCCAAAATGCATTTAGATGCAGTGAGTCTATAGAGAGGAAGACTAAGCACCAAGCACTTGGGTACTCCAAGGGGTCCTGCTACTGTTAAAGAAGAGCAGGCTTTCAGTGAACACATTATTGCCAAAATGTAAGAGCCCTGGTGGCACAATAGGTTAAGTGCTTGACTGCTAACCAAAAGGTAGGTGGTTTAAACCCACCAGCTGCTGTGAGGGAGAAAGATGAAGCTGTTGCTCCTGTAAAGATCACCATCTTGAAAACCCTGTCGAGCAGTTACTCTGTCCTACAGGGCTACAGTGAGTCAGAACTGACAGCAGGTTAGTGGGACTGCAGATGCACAATGCAAAGCTCTGCAGCATCAGCTCTTAACATAAGAGTCAAAAAAGATCTCAGAGACAAAAGCATGTGCCTCCCTCATCTGTGGCAAGATGAGTATTGGAAGGGAGAGTGTGCCGCAGCCACATCTCTCTCGTGTCTCCACCATCTACCTACCTTCTCGGGATGGACTGCAATTTGCTTATTGTCAGAAGAAAGAGGGAGAATAAGAAATTCTCTATTATGTCCAACAATGCTTTGCAGAGAAGGCACCCATCCATGCACATGGGGTGAGGCTGAGCAGAACCACAGCACTGCCTGACTCAACACCAACAACTGCAAAACACTAAACTCAAATAGAGTGACCCACCACCACCACTGAGTTGAATCTGAATGGTAATATTTTGTTGTAAAGATGAAACTGAGCTCTTATAAAACCAAAATACAATCTTAAGAAACCATCCGTTACCTGTGTTTACGGTATGACCCATATATATTATCTTATATACGTTAGTGACACTAGTATAGTACAACTCACATCTATCCATAGCTTTTAAGAGTAGTAAAAAACGTACCTTTTCAACAGCAAATGTCCTGATCACATATTCTGCTAGTAGCTCTGTTTCTATCAGGGTAACTTTAATGTCTTTATATATCTCTGTGTCATCTGGCCAGTATTTGCAGCATTTGACCTTTAGAAAACATGAAAAAATTAAGAGTTTAGGATTTTGTCTGGCTTGGTTTTTTGAAGTTCCTCAGTGATCACTTACTACATTTACAGGAGCATAGCATTTACAAAAGCAAGAGGCACACTATAAACTCAAGAGGGTTTTTTTTTTTTAGTCACCTATGCTTTCTTCCTTTCTCCAGTAAAAAACAAAATTTGAGTAATGGGGGTGGGAGAAAGCCTAGGAAAATGGTCTAAAGTGAAGGCAAATAGTATTTATCTTAAAATATCTCAGTTACACGAACTACTCATCTCCTGTGTCTCTCTACTCAAAGGATGTCTTGGAAAAAGGAAATATAAAAGGTAATTTGCAATATTTTAATATCTGAGTTTTAGTTTTTTCCTATTTCAGAAATTGATTGACAGTCTGTGAGAAAGAAAAGGGTGAGCAGGAAATCAGAGCCAACACTAAAGTTGCTAACTGCTGTTGAGTTGATTCTGACCCATGGCGACCCTTTATAGGGTTTCTGAGGAGCAGCTGGTGAGTTTGAACCAACCACCTTGCAGTTCAAACAGCTTTGCAATCTGGTGCATTAACCCATGCAGTTTCGCAAGTTAGAACTACAGTCTGATTTTAATCTGAGTAAATTCAATATATAAAACTTGATAATATAAACTGTCTTTTCATATTATCTTTAGTCCCTAACTTATGGGTATTTCATGTGCAAGAGACTTGTTTGGCTTAACAGCCAAGGCACCCAGGCAGAGCACCTGTGGCCACCTCCTGATATGGTTCATACTCCTCAGTATTCACTCTATGCTGATTTCTTGCTAATTCCCACCACTCCATGGATTCATTTCTTTCTTTCTTTTTGTTTATTTTTTTTACCATTTAGAATGTTTTCATGGATATTGGCTTATTTTTCAGAAATTTCATGAAGTCTGGAAGGAAGCACTTGGCATTGGTTCAGTGGGTTTTTTGGGGTTTTTTTGTCTTCAATTTTACAATACTAGATAGAGGGAGTGTTCCCCGATTAGACATAATATCCATACAAATAATACATTCAGGTAAGGGAGATGAAACTACTTCATATAAGATCTGTTTAAATCTTCCAATTCTCACCTAAACATCAATTGTGCATCCCTGTGCCCCTAAGTCTAACCTTATATATTTTATTAACCAATATTTTATTGACTAGTTTTGGGATTGCAGTACATTGAGCTCCCATGTCTTGGAGCACCAAGGATTTCTCTTCCCTACTTCTAGGCTATTTTACCTATACATGTGTATATGGCCTCAGGTCCCCTCCTGGGGGCTGGACCAGAAGACCTTGGCCCCCTCATCATCTTTATCTTTTTTTTTTTTTAATGTTTTATTGTGAATTGTGTGATAGTCTACATGGGAGAACATCAGCTTTATACTCATTCCATCATCCATCATTTCGTTGGCATAGTTATCATCCTGTCCATGCATCCTCACCCAACCAAGGGGTGTACCCTGTAAATCTGTACCCCCCCCACCACAGTCCTCAGCCCCTTTCCATCTCCTGATCCCAAGCCCCCAACCTCACCATCTCTTGACATTGTCTTCTCTGCCTCCATCCCAGGCCTCACTGCCTCTCTGGGTAGGATTCTGCTCTTCGCTCTTCTGTCCCAGGGTCCTCCACCCCTAGACTGATAAATTAATCACTCCCCTCTTTGTTACAAAATGTCCATCTTTAGATTTCCAACCCTCACAATCAGTCCTGATAATAATTATTCACCATTGCATTATAAGAGACCCATCTATATTTCGTTTCATCAGCCCTTCCTGGACAGGCTGGACAGCACTCACTGGAGACTCTACCTTCCTCCACACCCTCTGGATCTAGGTTCCCTCTTGAAAGCTTGTAAGCCAGTCACTTCTTGTCTTTGTATCCCTCCCCCCATTTTGGGTAGCCAATGTCCAAGTTGCCCATCCCTGTCTACCCTTTGTGTGGAGGGGGTGGGTATCGTTCTTGCAGCAGGGACTTGTTTCCTCTTTTGAACTACTGCATTTATAGGTGTAGGTCATGTTTATCGAATTGTATCAGATGATGCTTTTTTCCCCTCTTCTTTCTTCTTAGGGTTGAGCTCTGTTTATTCAGTCATTGAAGTCCAGTCAAATGGGCATCATCTGCAAGTGTGGGTGTTCTTACGTCTGTCTGGCCTCTTTATATTGGCTGGCTGCCCCACTCTCCACTCTAGACCTCTGTGGCTGTGTCACTGACCCTGAGCCCATAAGTCCCCAGATGTTGCCTGGCTACTGGCTGACCAGGTCTCCATCCGGGTTCACAGTAGTTTGCTGAACGATGTAGGGCTTAGCTTGCCCCTTTGTTGATGTTCTTCGGCCACTTCCCCTTCTGGGTGACGTGCGTGGTTGTCAGTCAAAGTGTATATTTCCCTTGCGTCTTAGTCTTGGGATTACTTGCCTTGATGTCTCCCGGGCAAGCCACCAGTATGTTCTTGTGGTAACAGTCAGACTGCCCTTATTGTTTTGTATTTTTCCTGTAGGTCCTTCTTTCAAGAGCTATCTTCTGGTTTTCTAGCTGCTCCCGGCTGGTCTGCTTGTCCTTTCAAGTAGAGAAATTTCCCATCTCTGAAGGTCTGGTTGTGGTTTGGGCTTCCACCTATACTCTCCATGGATTCATTTCTACTTTAGTCCTATTTCTTACAAGCTGACCTCTTGTATTTCGAGCTTCTTTTGTTGACATCTTTCCTTGATTGCCCTGACATCACCTCAAAGGCACTGTGTCCAAAAGATAATTCCTTGTCCCACATCAATTCCTTCAAAACCCTGCTGATTCCATTGTAAATACCTAGTCAGTTTCCAAGTTTAAGCGTGTCTTTGAAATATCTCTCAATTGCATTTTTCAACTTTTTGTTTCCTTGTCTACAATCATATTTCAGGTTCTGGAAACTTTTTATTTTCCTTTCAAATATTTTATTTTGCTATCAGAGAAGGATGGCACAGCAGTTTAGGGTCCCATTCAACATTTTCTGTACAACTTTTTCACTGATGCTGTTATATTCTACATAATGCACCAACATTCTCATTATTCCTATTCTGGTGGTTCATTTCCATTCATATAATTTCCCCGTCTCCTTAGAGTCTCATCTTAGTTTTAAAGTAACTGCTGACTAATCTTATATAGGTGATTTTTTAAAGAAGCACAGTATATATTGGTAATATTCATTATTGTTTTAGCAAAGGTGTTATTTAGTTACAAGGGTTAATTTTAGTTCAAGGTTTAAAGTTCAGGGCAATAGTTTTGGGAGTACTATTGTCTTAACCAAGGAGATCTGGTAGTGCAGTGGTTACAAATCAGACTGCTAACCTCAGGGTCAGCAGTTCAAAACTACCACTGTTCTGCAGGAGAAAGATGAAGCTTTCTGCTCCCTTAAAGATTTATAGCCTCAGAAACCCTGTACAGGGTCGCTGTGAGTTGGAACCGACTCCATGACACATAACTACCACCACTACCACCATTGTCTTACCCACTCAAATAGGTCTGTTTTTATTTTTAGGAATTTGACGTTCTGTTCTACATTTGTCTCCATTTTACCAGGGTCTCTCTCTTGTGGCCCTAGTAACAATGGTTGGTAGAGGTAACAAGTTTTTCTTTTCTCAAGGTTTATGAAGCCATGGTTCATGAGGACTCTGTCCTGTAGACTTGTTTTTTACTTCGAGTCTTTGATTTCCTTCTTTCTCTTCTGCTTTGCATGAGAAGAGACCAATAGTTGTATCGTAGATGACCACTTGCAAGACATGACTCACCAAACTAGAAAATAACTTTATAAACTATATTAAACAAATGTTCCATGAGACTATGGTCCTAATCCTTCAAGCTCAGAGATTCAATCCTGTGAGGTGTTTATTTATGATTAAGAAGTATCTGTAAATGCACCCTTTAGTAGCATAGTGGGTTACATATGGCTAACCAAAAGGTCAGCAGTTTGAATCTACCAGCCAGTCCATAGGAGAAAGATGAAGTTTTCTGCTCCCATAAAGATCTGTCACTTTGGAAACCTAGATAAGGTCACTAGGAGTCAGAATTGATTCAATGGCACACTACTACCACCACCATGTACATGTATCATACAAAGGCATGCACATTCTGGTGACTTCTAACGTGGGCAATGTGTACATAAAAAGGCAAATACTCAAACCCATTATCCTTGAGTTGATGCTGTTTCCTAGTGATCCTATGGGAAAGAGTAGAACCGCACCCTAGGGTTTCCTAGGCTGTAATCTTGATTACATCTTTCCCTCATGGAGCAGCTAGTAGGTTTGAACAACTCAAGTTACAGCTAAGAGTCAAGTACTTAACCAATGTGTCACCAGGGCTTACTGTTCTATATGTAACAATAAAACAAACAAACCAAAACCCTCTCCCAAATGCAAGAATCTTCTATTTCCAAGTGTTGTTGACTCATTTTTTACCCTATGGACAGAAGAATGAACCACTGCCAGATCCTGACTCAGCTTCACAATGATTGCCATGCTTGAGCACACTGTTGCAGCCACTCTGTTAATCCAGGTCATTGAGGGACTTCCTGATGATCATGGACACTATACCAAGTATGATGTCCTATGTCCAGTGTACATGAGACAAAGTCTTGCCATACTTCTATGGCACACACTGGCTGTATTCTTTTTAAGACAAGACTTGTTTGTTCTTCTGGCAGTCCATGGTATATTCCATATCCTTTTCCAGTTCTTTGGTCATTCTTATTCATCATTCCACTTTTGCATGCATATGAAGTGACTAAAAATACCATAGTTTGGGTTAGGTACAACTTAGTCCTCAAAGTGACATCTTTGTTTTTAACACTTTATAGAAGTCTTTTGCAGCATATATGCCCAATGCAATATATCATATGGTTTTTTTGACTGCTGCTTCCATAGTTGTTGATTGTGGCTCTAAGTAAAACGGAATCTTTGACAACTTTTCTCCTTTTATCATGATGTTGTTTATTGGTACAGTTGTGAGAGGTTTTGCTTTA